CAGAGGCTACCCCAGCTATGTGGAACTGTGAGTCAAACCTCTTTCCTTTATAAGTTACTCAGTCTGTGGTATGTCTTTATTAGCAGCATGAGAATGGATTAATATAAAACTTTAAATCACATTAGGCATTAAAAAAAATACATCATGTGTTTTCTCCTATATTCTTTTATCCTTTTCTATTTCCATATTTGCATCCTTTTTAAAAAAAATTTGCTATACCACCTTGAAAACACCTGATCTCATCTCATCTAGGAAGCAAAGCAGGGTTGGATCTGGTTAGTGCTTGGATGGGAGACTATTGGGAATACCAAGTGTTGTAGGCTTAAAAAAAAAAATACCCTCTTAATATATTGAGGGCATTTCCCCATATTCTTTTATAAAGATCATTTCTTACTTGCTTGTTGATATTTTTCATTTTAGAAAAACAATCATATTTGTATTACATATAATTATCAAGTAGGGTTTTATATTTTTATACTGAGGATAAAAATCAGGATACAGTTTTGGAGCCTATGGGATTTAAAAAGAGGTTGAGGGAAAAAAGGTGATTAGAATTTCATCAGTATCAGCTGGGTGTGGTGGATCACTTGAGGTCAGGAGTTTGAGACCAGCCAGGCCAGCATGGTGAAACCCCATTTCTACCAAAATACAAGAATTAGCCGGGCATGGTAGCACACACCTGTAGTTCCAGCTGCCCGGGAAGCTGATGCAAGAGGATCGGTTGAACCCAGGAGGCGGAGGTTGCGGTGGATCACGCTACTGCAGCCTGGGTGACAGAGCAAGACTGTCTCAAAAGAGAAATAATTTAATCAGTATGATTTCTCAAGGAAAGTGAATGATTATGCAAGTCACAGTAAGTCACTCTCTTATCTCAGCATTCTGTAAACTACTTTCTAATACAATATACTTTATATGTTTCTTTGTCATTAAATAGTTGTGATTCTCAAACCTGTTTCTTTTAACCACTGCCCTATGAAAAATAGTTCTTTTCTTGAGCAATATCTGTATCAATGTTGCCTATGTATTTTATCATCTCTTATATGTAAGGTATGTTCTAGGCACTTTGGAAAACTGCCATAAGCTTGCTTATAACTTGTTCTAGAGGGAAGAATCATAGACACATAATAATTTTAAATATATTAGGGAATTTTTATGATAAATACCCCCCCACACACGTCTTTCCTCTACTTGAAATATGAAGACACCAACGCCCAAAAAGATTAAATTACTTGTTCACAGCCACAAAATTTGTGGCACAGCCAGAACTAGAACCTAAAACCAAAAGCTGTGATTCCCTCTCAATGCTTTTACACTTTTTTTTTTCTGAGGTGGAGTCTTGCTCTGTCGCCCAGGCTGGAGTACAGTGATGCGATCTCGGCTCACTGCAACCTCTGCCTCCCAGGGTCAAGCAGTTCTGTCTCAGTCTCCCGAGTAGCTGGGACTACAGGCGTGTGCCAGCATGCCTGGCTAATTTTTTGTATTTTTAGTAGAGACATGGTTTCACCGTGTTTCCCAGGATGGTGTTGATCTCCTGACCTCGTGATCCACCTGCCTCAGCCTCCCACTTTAAAACTTTTTAGGTATACTGCATAGTGCTTTTCTTGATAGAAACTTTGTCATTTTCTTCCTTAGGGAAATGCTGCTAGAAGCATTTCTTCTGTTTCTGTGGTAGTTAAGGAAAATTTATTTCATTTATACAAGTAATACTTAGTAAGCCCATAGACTGCATGATATCCTGTTGCAGGTGAGAAATGTGTTGATAAACTAACTAGGAACATCTGTGGAAAGCAATGTGTTAAGTGTGGGAAAATCTTAGTTTCTGGAACCTGAGCATCTCTGTGAGATTCCCAGCCCTATCATTTCCTGTCTGTGTGACTTATTCAAGCTACTTAATCTCTTTGATTCTTAGCTTCCTCCTACATTCTTTAATTTGTTTATTGAGCCCAAGAACTCATGGTATTGAGGATGCAGGAGAATTCCTGCTCTCAGTAAACTCTCATGCTGGGAGTGGGGTAAACAGATGGTAAATAAATAAGCAAAATATATATAGTTTGTTGCGATAAATGGTATGGAGAAAAATAAAGTAGATACTCAGGATATAAAATGGTGGGGAAGGGGTTTTAATTTTGTGTGCTGTCCAAGTAAGGCAGTACCAAAAAGGTGAGAGTCAAGCAAAGACTTCATTTATGAAATGTGGATACAATCATATCGTATTTATTCATTGCTTGTGTATAATGCTGATCCATTATATCTCATCAGCCAGCCCCAAACTGCTCTTTCTTAGGTTGAAGTGGCACTTAAGAAGCTCTTTTGTTTTCTCCATTAGTTACAGTCTGACATTAATATCCTTTTTTGTTGTTGTTGATGTGTTTTCAGTCCTAGAAAACAGTTTTTTCCCCCAAATATAAACAAACAGGAACTTCCTTTGGTGGTTAGGTACTGTGCTGGTGTTTAAGCCTCTTTTAAGGGGATGGGTAGATAAAGTAATGGTCTATGTGTTAGAACCACTTTTTAAATGACACATCAATTTTTATTACTTTCAACAGCTACTTAAAATATCCTTCCGGATTCTTAATAAACTTGGGCTTTTTATACATTTAAATGGGTAGCACATGAATTTTCCAGCAAAGATCTTTTGGCAATAAACCAAAGATGACAGTGTAAATTAATTTGTCTACTGATCAATTTATTAGAGATACTTTTAGAGTACAGAGATGATAATCATCAGTCCCCATACTCCTAGTATTAGTTGTTTATCATAGATAGGAAATAGCAACTATTTAGTTCATTTACTCAATTTTAACCAAATTAGGGAAAAAAAGGCCACTTGCCCTCTGGGCAGATAGTGGCTTTGTGTAAATTAGGAGGGAAAAAAACTTTTCACGTTAAAGGCTCCTTGAGTGGATTTCATCCCATCTTCCTAATCCCCCAAGTCAAATACATGGCACAGACTTTACATTCTTGGGCAGAAGTCCTGGTAATACATGGGGATTGCATCTCAGGGGAGACAATAGGATGATGTTCATGAATAGTGCCAATTCCAGAAAGCCTCCCCATAGTAAATGGAGTATGTTTATGAATACAACCTATCTCATAGGACAGGTATAAAGTACTTATATTCACATACAGATATATCCCTAATCTGATAATTATGGAGTTGAGATTCTAGTAGAGGTAGAGGATAGATATAAATAAGAAAATTGTGGCTATTGATATTATTGATAATGTGATAGAGTACTAGGAATTACTTTAAAAGGATGTCCAGGAGGGCCTTCCTGAAGAAGAAACATCTGCATTGAGATTTGTTTGATGAAAAGGAATCAGCATGCTTAGATCTGGGGGCAGAGCATTCCTGACAGTGAGAACTGCAAGAACAAAGGCTCTGAGGTACCACCTGGTCAAGGAATAGTAAGGTCCCTATTGTGGCTGGAACAGAGTGATTTTAGGAACAGTTGTGGAGAACAATGAGTACCTTGGGGTGGGTTTTTGTGAGAATAACGTATGTAAATCATAGATAAAGCACCTCTCATACTGCCTGGCACAAAGCAAGCATTTGATAAAAGTTTCCTTATTTACTTTAAGACTGTAGTTCTCAAAATTTTTTTATTTTAGGACTGCTTTATACTCTTAAGAATTATTGAAGATTCCAATGAGCTTTTGTTTCTGTAGGTGAATATTTACAGTCTTACAGTTTAAAACCAGGGATTCATTTAAAAATAACAATGATTTACCCCTGTTACCAAATGACATTTTTAAAGTAACTAATTCATTTTTTCTTGGTTTAAAACTGAGGATTTAAAACACTATTTATTTAAAAATAACAGCGATTTACCCGTGTTACCAAATAACGTTTTTTAATTAAAATAATTCATTTTTTCTTGAAAGTTTGAGTTTATTATTGGCAACAAATATACTGTTAATTGCTTTTCTTGAAGTGACAAGACTCATTTTGTTCATTTGCAAGAAAAGATCTCCCAAAAATCAAAGTTAGACTAACTGTAGTTTGTCATTTTAAGTAGACATAATGTTACATGGAAAAGTGGCTAAGTCAGCTTACATCTCAATCTCACAAGTGCTTTTCATCAAGACAACCATCATACTTGGAAGAGGTGCTTTAACATATACTTCCCATAGAGAATATAAAAAAGACCTGTGTACAAGGGCCAACGTTTAACACGTACTGCTTTGTCAAAGACGTGTATGAGTAAAAATTGCTGCCCCCCAACCACCACTTTTTTTGGAGACAGGGTCTCTGTTGCCCAGGTTGGAGTGTAGTGGTGTGATCATAGCTCATTGCAGCCCAGGTTGGAGTGCAGTGGTGTGATCATAGCTCATTGCAGCCTTGAACTCAAGCTCAAGCGATCCACCTGCCTCAGCCTCCCAAGTAGATGGGATTACAGGCATGAGCCACTGTGCTTGGCAATTTTTTTTTTTAATTATGAGTACCAAGTGTTCGATACAGTGACTATTAATGGAGGTGGGTTTTTTTGTTTTTTGGTGTTTTTTTTGGCCACTGCCATTATTTGTGCTAAAGCACATGCAGTTTTACAGCTGGTACTTTTATACCATCAAGTGTACATGTCAACAAAGTAAAAAAGGGAAATGACATCTTAGTTTTATCTTGAAAACAGTTTTGCCCTAATCAACTCCCTAAAAGAATCTACTCCCCCTTCCCCCAGCAGACAACATTTTTGGGAACCACTGCTGTAGAGACTATTATTATACTTAATTATAATGTCTTCATTTTAATAGGTACTTGTTATCCGAATTGGGTTGCCATAAAGAGTCTAGTCTGTTGTATGTGTACCTAAGCAAGGACTCTTACAATTTAGTGTCATTGGTGTGTTTGATGGAGTATAGTCAAAATAGCAGGAGATTTATTTACAGAGAATATTTGTATTATAAAAGCTACAAAGTAGGAATTTTATTTTATTGATACATTATTTGGAGGGTTAATTCGTATTTTTTCCAATTTTGCTTTCTGTTTTGTTTTTAGGCTTGCATTGATGACAATGTTGATATGGTGAAGTTTCTGGTAGAAAATGGAGCAAATATTAATCAACCTGATAATGAAGGCTGGATACCACTACATGCAGCAGCTTCCTGTGGATATCTTGATATTGCAGAGTAAGCCAGTTCTGTGTTTTAATTTTATTCTAATACTATTTGAGAGACCTGAGTGTTTATTGAAATGATAAAGATAAATGAGTGAACTCTTATAATACTTGAATTCATGAAAATTATTCTTCCAAGAAAGAAAATAAGTGGTTATTGGGAATCCATATATTCTCAGAATCAGATCTTCTTTCTGTCTTCCCACCCTCTTTGGCCTTTGGTACTTTGTATTAATATTAGTAATTGTACACGTTCTCTGTCTCCATCTTTTTTCTTTTGAGTACGGCTGGAGCATTGTCAAATGATTCAGGGTTAATACTTAGCAGTCGAACCCATTCCTTTATAATCATAAAATTGGCAACTGGGTTACTTGCTATAGGGAGAATATGATACATAGTTCTCCAGTGAGCCTGTTTACGTAGTTTTTCTGAAGATTGTCTTTTTTAAAAAATACATGTTTTAGAAAATTCTGTGAGAAATAGTCATTGTATTCTCTACTACCTTTAATGTGTGGGTACATATTAAAAACATCTGATTGTTTTAAGCATTTAACAATGGAAGTGTAGATATCTTGAAAAATAATTTTTTCATTAAATTATTTTTCTTGTTACTATCTATCCACACAGTAAACAGTTGTGTTGTCTTTCTGCTCATATCAAAGCTTATCAATGAATAAATATTAAACATGAGAATTCTACTCTGTAAATATCTTAATAAGCCTTCATAGTTTTATCTCTATACATTTTACTTTTTTTCCCCGTTTGTACTGGAGATACAATATCTAAATTTCAAGGCAGAAACTGTATGGTGAAATGAAAGGTGGGCCTGGGAACGGTAAGGTCTGAATTACCTGAATTTTATTACTGACTCTGCCACTTACTATACGACATCTTTCCATAATTTGTTTCCTCTTTCTGAGCCGTAATTTTTTTGTATATAAACTGAGGAAGTCTTTTTCCCATTGCAAAACAGCAGTGGTTTGTTCACACTTAACAATCATGATTCTCAAGTTCTTTACTTCCTTTTTGGACTTTTCCTGCTCAATAGAAGACTTAAATCTCTTCATAGAAAAAAAAAATAAACCGGTTAATTATGTATTTATCTTTATACTTAATGATTAGGCTCTGGAGTTAATTGATATGGAATATGTATGCCTCCTGAATCACTATCAAGGAGTTGGCAAGTTGTTTAATTTTTCTAGGCTTTAGTTTTCTCCTCTATAAAGTAATATTTCCTAGGTTTGTTGTGAGGATTAACTGAAGTAATTCATCAAACATAGGACCTGGCTCATAGGAAATAGTACATGTTAACTTTTGACCATTACCTTTTGTATCAACACTGGGAAAATGAAAACTCAACCTCTTTCTTCAGATGTTTAATTCTTATGTTTCCTTTTTGTATTCATGTTTCTGAGTTTGAAAAGACAATATTAATTGTCTTGAATAATTTCTTTGCATAGACTTGATTAGGTCACAGACCTATTGTGTAAGTTGGAATGCTTTTAGCTGCAAGTAATAGAATACCCAATTTAAAATGACCTAAAGAATAATGGTACTTGTTATACAGGATAAAATATCATTTAGAGGAAGGACATTTAGATTTATTAAGCAGCTCAGTGATGTCAGCAAGGACCTGGGATCTTTCAGTTTTTTCTTCTGCATTTCCGAAAAATGGATCTTATTCTTAGCCTTCTCCCCTCATGGTTACAAGATGATTGCAACAACTCTAGAATTGTGTTTTACATATCCACATCCAAAAGCAAATAAAAAATGGATTGCGAGTAGAAAATATTCTCTCCATATTCTGTGTACATCAAAGAGGAAAACCTTTCCAAGGGAACCCTCCAGTTGCTGAAGACATCCCATAATGAGACTTCTTTTAGCCTGGTCCTGGTCATTTGTCCATGTTGTAGCTAGGAAAAGTAAATATCTTGGCATATTCAGCTTTTACATGCTAGTATGTAAGAAGCATGAGGAGAAGGGTAAGCAGTTTGTTGCAGTTGCTAATATTATCAGTAGGGTGACTATTACTTTTCATTTTTTGGAGAGTGGGATACGGAATGTATGCTTTACAGGACTTGTACAAACAAAAGTGACCTTTTGGGGCCAAGGTTGACTATAGTTGCTAGTCTAATTACTTTAGTTTGAATTTATGACTGTGCTATAGACTATGGAGTTTCCTGGAACCAGATTAAAATTAGAAGAAAAAGTTTTCCTTTTTATTCTTTCTGCCACATGAGATCTTTTTTACAATAATGACTTTTTATAAAGGGCAGTTTAACTCTAGCATATACTGGATGATTTGTTAAGGTGATGATAGCCCAAAATCCTTCCAAATGCTCAATTATTTTTATCGGCATAATCTCTTTTAGCAGGCTGGGCATGGTGGCTCATGCCTGTAATCCCAGCACTTTGGGAGGCTTCGCTTGAGCTCAGGAGTTCGAGACCAGCCTGGGCAACATGACAAAACCCCAGGTCTGCAAAACATACAGAAAAATTAGCCAGGCACAATGATGTGCACCTGTAGTCCCAAATACTCTTGAGGCTAAGGCAGGAGAATTGCTTGAGCCTGGGAGGCAGAGGTTGCAGTAAGTTAAAATAGCACCATTGCACTTAAGCCTGGGTGACAAGAGTAACACCCTGTTTCAAAAAAAAAAAAAAGAAAGAAATACATTAAAAACACCTCTTTCAGCAGTTAATTTCACTAATGATTAAGTGAAATTACTGAAACCCTAGTTTTCTTGGGTATAGAAAAATAATATTCTGGTGGCCTAATCGATAGGGTGAAGATAGTCTACAGATCAGAATGTTTTATAGGAATGAAAGAAAGGACTTATAATAATAATAATAATAATGTAGACAATAGTTACAAACCAGGGGATAGGAAACTGGGGCATATGGTCGCTGTGCTAACTGAAGTATTTTGGAGTTAAATTTGTTGCAAATCCTAGTTCTCCCATTCACTAGCTTTGTGTCCTTGACCAATCTACTTAGTCTCAATAATTTAAGATTATTTGTAAAATTGGAAAGATCTAGGTTCTTCCTGAGCCTTTTTTCTCATACTACATTCCACTTCACATTTTTCACTCTGTCAATACTGGACTACTTTTAGTTCCCCAACATTCCCTACTGGTTTACATCAGTGTGTCTTTCTTCATAATAGTTTATTTGCCTGCTGTTGCATTACTTGAGCAGCTTCTACCAAATTCTAAAGATGCAGTTTGTATAAGGGTCATTTCCTCCAGGAAGTGTGTCTGATGTTCTTGGCAAATTCATCATCATCATCTCTAACACATCAGTCGTTTGTTTATATGCTTCTTCACTAACTACATTTATGCACAGAATAGTAGTAAATCATCCCTATTGATATGTGCAGTTAAGCCTAGATTCATTTACTCTGAGGATTTGAGGATGATTAGGATACATTGAGTTCTAAATTTTTAACCTCTGTTGGAAATAGTAGAACAAAGAATGTCAGATTACAGTTTCATTTCTAGGCATTTAACAATTTTACATTTGGCCTGTAGCGTAATTGAAACCAAGTGAATAGACCAGATGAATGATGGCTGTTCATATTGTGGCTCAATTATCTCACATTTTCACCAAAATAATTACCCTTAACTTTTGCTTATTCTTAACAAGGTAGAAGTCCTAGGGAAAACTAAAAATACAGATTATTTAATAATGCCCTTTATTCAGAGTGGAATGGAGGACAAGTAAATGAGGTGAGTTTGTGGAGCCTGATTTTATGTTCAGCATATGCATTGTTTTAATAAATACTGTCTTGAGTTTTTCATTCTTAAGAATATTATTACTTTAACATGTTTTTAAAATTATGCAATCAGTAAATATTTAAGCACCTACTGTATATATCATGTCAGATACTAAAATGTATGCATTAACATCATTCTTTTCCTTTGGGGTGCTGCATCAGTATTATGGGCGGAATAGTGTCACCCAAAATTCTTAGTTGAAATCCTAACCTCCAGTACTTCAGAATGTGATTCTATTTAGAGAAGGGGCCTTTAAAGGGATGATTAAGCTAAAATGAAGCCGACGGAATTGTTTCTGATCCAGTCTGGCTGGTTTTCTTATAAGAGGAAGACATTTGGACACAAAAAGAGACACCAGGGTCCCTCTCATAGAGAGGAAAGAAACCATGTGAACAAACAAGAAGGCAGCCATCTACCAAGCAAGGAGAGAGGCCTGTGAGGAAACCAAAGCTGCTGACACATTGATCTTGGACTTCTAGGCCCCAGAACTGTGAGAAAATAATATTTCTATTGTTTAAGCCACTCAGTGTGTGGCATTTTATTATGGTAGTCCTAGCAAACTAATATGAGTAGTATAAACTTTCCACTATCACATCAAGGCATACTCTTCCTTAAAAATTAGAGTGTTAATGTCATTGGCTATGGATTAGAAATAAAATGGAACAGCATGACTTTGGGCATACTAGAAAAGGCAAATGATTTTAGGGCCCAAGAACCCATGTATGCAACTTATTGTTCCAATCTTGAATTATCAATTAGTTATACATCTATGGCATAAATTATAATTGAATTACTATGTGCAAAGCATTGAAAACCAAGTTCTTTGAAGAAATAATTAGATGAAAACTTAGGAACTATACAATGGTAACATTTTAATTGTCATTCTTTTTTATTTATTAGTTGGAATATTTTTGTAAAAGAAACTTTCTCATCTCTGCTATTTGGTTACCCTTTGTATTAGTTCATTCTCATGCTGTTGTAAAAAACTGCCCAAGACTGGGTAATTTATAAAGGAACAAGGTTTAATTGACTCACAGTTTCACAGGGCTGGGGAAGCCTCAGGAAACTTAACAATCACGGTGGAAGGGGAAGCAAACACATTCTTCTTCACATGGCGGCAGGAAGGGACAATGCCAAGCAAAGGAGGAAAAGCCCCTTATAAAATCATCACATCTCATGAGAACTCACTCACTGTCACAAGAACAGAAGCATAGGGGTAACCGCCTCTGTAATTCACTTA